ACAGTTGACAGGGGGCAGGGAAACGTTATGTACATTTCTTGTGCAATGAAATGACGGCTTTAGGGTGGGGATGCTCGAAGTAAATGATTTTCATTTTATTTTCCATTATCCCAATCTCAACCCAATATTAACCTAATATTCGCCCAATCTTAACCCAACATACTATAGTAGTCCCTGGCGACCGCTCAAACGGCAGATCCAGAAGATTGCTTGGGGCCTTTGGAATTTAGAAGTCTTCAGAAACATTGGTGGACTTGACAACATTTGTGCAAGTCATATCATTAAAGTCTTCAGAGGTGGCCAGGCCAAATTTGATTGCCGAGTTTTTGTGTACAGGTGCCGGTCTGTGGCGAATTTGTTTCTGCGTGCGCATGATGTAGAGGTTAACTGGGCTGAGAAACATCATCGGCGGCAGTTGGATAAAGGAAGAGCAACCGCTGCTGGCGCGGATGTCGCCTCGCGATTCGCCAGAGCTTTCTGCGTTCAAGGGTGTGTTTGTTTTCTTTGCTGCGGAACTCTCAGCCCTACCGACAACAATTCGGATGACGACAGCTTTGTGCCAGCATGGCAGAAAAGCAGCCATTGGAGTTGGACTGAGTTGGAGTCCGGCATTCAGGCTTGTAAGTTCGCTAAGCAGACTAGAGCAGTTTTGTCAGTCGTCATGACAGAAAATTGAAGCACATTCTGTTGGCTTGTGGCCGCAGCTTGCACGTCTCTTTCTCACGTAGATGTACATAGATGTGTATCTTGTTGCAGCAACAATGCTCTCTGGATGTCTCATTGTACAACGGTCGACCTGCCAGACTTGCCACGTAGAGTACAGTTTCTTGGTTTCTGGGGCCATACTAGCAACAGCCATGTCTGTGACATCTGGAGATGACTGGTCTTCTTGGGCTTCGCATTTGAAGGCCTGGACTACCTCGCTGAACGAAGCTCAACTGAAGCTGAAGACCTGGGCAGGTGGGAGATGCTCTGTGGTACGAGCGCTGCGAGGGCCATCAAGTAGAAGCAAAGCTGGCTGCTCGGCAAACCCTACCTGCCACCCCTTGCAAAAGTGCTTAAAGCAACAGCTTTCAGTTCTTCCCGGATTTGCAACGACATCTCCCCGATTTGGGTCACGCTGGCCTGGTGTAGCTTCGCTAGCGGCATGTTGCTACGGTTTTTGTTCTATTTAAGGTAGAGATGTGCTGGACGAGCAGCACATGCTGGGTGCAGTACCACGTGGAGCGCCCGAGAGGCGGGCATGCGGCAGGGGCGGGAGAGCTCAGCTTTCGCTAGCTCCTGCATCCTCTTGCTATTCAGCGGTGCGCTTCTAACAGGTTCGCTCTGCTGAAATAAAATGTGTTGCGAGTGCACTGAAGTGACACCCCTGCTAGGCGGATGGCAGAATCGGCGTGCTTTGGTCAAGCTTGAGGAGGGACACTGCCTTCATGAAACTGCACTTGTAGATCAGGTTGCTTTCGAGGTAGAACACGCGCTTTTGTCATTGTCCCTCGCGAGCCTGAGCAGGAGCTCATGCGAGTGCAGCAGGATCGAGACCGCCAGCCAGCCCGCTGCGCTTTGTGGAAAGGGGATTTGCACTTCCCAGATCGCTTGCCACATCAGCACCCAAGATAGACGGGTAGCATCAAAGCCCAGGTTGAGCTGTGCAAGCTCCATGGCCTCTGAAGAGCAACAGCCAGTCTGTGAGTGACTGGGTTGAACGCATTGCAAGAATCACGTCCGAAGGGCATCCATGTACTTGACCTGTCTAGACATGTGGTTTGCTGGACTTAGCGAGCCTGCGCGTGCGGCAGGGCTGGCTGGATCTCTGAGGGCTACACACCAACTGTGGGAGAGTCGCTTGGAGCAGAAACTAATGATATTAGCGCAATTTTCTCCAAATGCGTTTGAAGTGTAAGGACGATGAGTATGATGAGTGCACATCCTGCCTCGAGGCAGAGACGGAGCGTTTCAAGTGCTTTGCAGGATGTGCTAGCCTTCCCCTTGTAGGCCTCTCCTTGAACTCACATGAATTTGCGGGCCTTGACTGTTTGTCAACAAAACTTTTAATGCCAGGCACAGTTCTGCAACCCTCAGGTACAGAAGCGGGGATACTCTGCCTGATTTCAATCGCATGGTCAAGTCAAGACTAGGCGGCTAGTCAAAGTGCTAGCGTGCGATGATTTGGCTGGAGTTGATTGTTACTGTGGGGATCAGCCTTCATGCAGGTCGAGAGCATTTAGCATGGTTGTCAGCGACGATGAAGATTCTGTGGCGGGGAGGAGCAGGCCTGTGGCAAGCTGTTGTGCCTTCAGTCAGAAAGGTACTGTATTGGCAGCCTCCGAGAATTTGCCTGCAGCAGATCTTTTTCAAGATGCCATTGACCTCAGGTAGCAGGCTGCCAATGATTCAGCTGCTGTTGTCTCAGAATGTTTGACAGGCAGAGGCCGCAGCGGGCTTTCAGCATGGTCGTCAGTGATGATGAGGATGAGCCGTGCAGGCCTATAACTGCACGGGTCATGCTGAATCAGAGTTGTCCTGCAAGAGCGTGATCAATCAATGCACAGACTGGCAAAGTTGTAATGGAGCTCCGTGTCCTGATGATTACCATTCTCCTTACATGCATGGAGGCGAACACGCGCAACCAGCATGGTCTTGGCAGACAACTTTGAGAGTCTCGACTCAGCTACCGAGAAGGATGCATCTTTATTGCTATGCCATTTTTGTTTTGGTCTGGGGTCAAAAGTGTGTTGCCGCCTCGCAGTTGTGGCAAAGGCGCGATACGGCCGTGAGCATGATCTTCAGCGAAGCGTCTGGTGATCTTGGGCGAAGGTGCCTCGTTCTGGTGTGAATTCAGTTCTGCAGAAGCATGTCTTTGATCTTGACGAACGCAGGCGACCCTGAGCTCTCACGTTCCCCAATATATTGGTAGCTAGATGTACAAGCTCGCATGCTTGTGAAACCGTGTGAGAGGTGCTTTAAGAGAGGCTTTGCTGGAGTTCACCGTGCTTACTGATTAATGCCTTGTATGAATGCATGAAGGCGGACTCGCGCAACCAGCATGGTCTTGGCAGACGACTTTGAGAGCCTCGACTTCAAAAAGTCGGACTTGTTATTCTTTTGCTGTACTGCCTGGTTTCGCCTTCTCGGTCTTGGTTTTGATCTTGAGATAGAGCGTTTTGGGCAAAGGCGCGACACTGTCATGAGCATGATCTTCAGTGAATCGTCTGGTGACTCCGGACAGAAGTCCCTAGTCCTGATCTGGCTAGCAAAGTTGAGCTCCGTACTGGACCAGACATGGAGCACAGGCGAGGAGCAGCCTTGAGCATGCTGAGCGAAATTCCAGAACTCTGGACACAGCGAGAGCATCAGTGGCTAAGACGCACGAGCAACAAGATGTGAAGTTTCACCTCTGCAATAGAGCAGAGCACTGAGGCGGGAGCCAGCGCCAAGCAGCGAAATCACGGACCACTGGACGGCATTTGAGTGCCCCGGATGAACTTGGATCCGCTGCGAGATGCTGCGAGCATGAAGCAGCTTGGCTTTCTGAAATGAGATTGTGCGCGTGGAACAAGACACGTGTACAGGTCTGATCATCCGCTGCCTCCAAAGTCGCGACCTGGTTGCACATATGCGAGCCGGACCTCGATTGATGAAAGCCTGCGCGGCACATCAGTGCTCATGCTCAGTGACTTCATGACTCAGGCCATCTGCAAGTGAGCTGTCTCAAAGCACTCCGGAGACTTTGCCGTCACCAGAGCCTTCCATCAATTGCGGAAAGCACCCCGGCAACCAGCTGGGGTCAACCCTGACATCAAGTAAGCCCTGCACAAGGCCTTAGTGCGTCTATTGAAGTCCACGGAATCGTCTGCACTTCAGACACACCTCGTTGGTGTTGGCTGCTACCCCGTGAGGTATTGTGATGATCCTGCTGCTTGGCCTTCCGCGCAGTGGACGATGCCGGAACTAGCCCTCCAGCTGCAAGTAGCTGTGACCGCAACCTGAGGTCCGAGTTCTGCTTGTTGCAAGCTCGGGAAACTTCCTTAAACTGCTTCGAGGGGTCACGTCAGTCATGTCAGACTCTCTAGGCTTTAGACGATGTTACGACTTGACCTGCACGAACAAAGCTTGGGCTTGCTACTACTTTGATATACTTTGACACTGACATGACATCTTGCTCTTTACCTGTTCGGCCCAGGTCGGGTTGGAGCCCGAGCATGTCGACACTTGGAGACGTTCAGAAGTAAACAGTTGGGAACACGGGGAGGGATCTCAACCTCACAGTCTTGCTTAGCTTAGCTCATCAAGCTGCAAATCAGGACGTCTTTTGGAATTCAGCGAGGGATACATGCCGCACTTGCCCGTTGTCTTTGGTGGCTCATACGACTGACAAGGCAGTCTCTAAAGCTGTCCGATGCAAGAAGGGGCGGTTCCGTTCAGAACAGGATAGTAGAGATGCCACTCGCAGGTGGAGAAAGAGCTGTCCGAATTATGTCGCCTGCTGGAGAACAAGGCGCACATCAGATTAACACCACCAGCAAGACCAATCAGACCCCGATCAGTGCAGGCCGCGTCACTGGCTTCCACAAGTGATGATGCTGACCATGACAGCGCAAAGTCCTCAGATTGATCCGCTGCCTGGAAAGGCCTGGCGATTTTTGTCGCTTTGATGATTGCCTCTTTTTCCTCCGGGACATGACTTATTGTGTCTTCCACTTAGGGTACTGCAAGCTCCAAGCCATCAACATGTGAGGCAGGAGTTTCGTTAAATGCGCACGGCTGAGACTTAGCTCCCTGAGCACAATGCCATCGCTACCTGACTCTGACCTGCGCACTCCGGAAGGAAGACCCTGATCTCCAATTGCTGGCCCCGGTACAGAATGAGGCGCGGATATTGTTGTAGGTAGCATTAGGTAGCCAGAGGTGATTGCCGAGCTTCGCATCATTGCCAGGTCAGCATGCTTCCTGAGGAAGAGCATGGAAGAGCTTCTAGGTTTGAAGTGGGCTTTTGCCGATGTTCTACGCAGAGTGTTCCAGACAATCTCTTGCCTCGAGGCTCCCGGAAGTGAGGCATCTGGGTCTCCTGTTGTGGCTGCAAAAGGCGATGGCCAGGATCGTGAATTTGATGCAGATGCGTACAGGCCTTCTGCTGCCGAAGTTTGAAATTGCAACCTCTAGACCCGATGCGCAGGCCGAATCGCACCATCAGCCAGCAGCGTCATAATGTGTTTAACATGCTCTGCTCAGAATCAGAAATTCTGCGCTGTAGACATGAGAGTCTGGATGTGTGGACAAGACTCACATGCTGGGCAACAGGAAATTGTAATTCCCTGCTCCCTGCCAGGGTGAAGAAGCCGGGACTCATGGAGTCTTACCTTCAAGTTCTTTACTTGACTGCAGTTCCAGCAAAGTCCATCATGTAATTACAGGAGTGTCTTGACATCACTCGCAGCTGCAACTGCTTCAAAGAACATTCAGGACAGGCAGTGTTCTGCACTCAGGATCGGGTGCTCAGAAATCTTTGTCCTTCGCTTGCGAAGTCTGAAGCTCAGCGCGGGTTCAATGTTGGATCTCATTTGCTGAGTTGATTCTCTAAGAGTGAAGTCATGGGGTGGCCAAGATGCACAGCAGCAGGCCGAGAGCAGGATCAAACAAATCCAGCTGACGTTAACGGAAAGTGCGCACGTCGCCAACAATTTGTGTAGCGAGCGCAGCGCGGTCGGCCTAGAACGGGCGCGCGCGCCGACACAAAGCGCGTTCGCCAACAGTAGTGTGACTGTAAGACAGCAAGCTGGCGTTTCTGATAAAATGTGCCCTAAAATACATATCGTGAGACCTGCACATTAGTCGCTGCAAAAGGTTCTTCGTTTGCGCAGGTACTGGGATTAGACCTGGTATCTGGCTCCGCCCAGGTCCTGACCACAAGTCGCCAGCCACCTGCGAGGAGCCTCCAGCTCTGATCTCTCTAAACGCGGTCCTGCTATCAGAAGGCACTTACATTAGTCGGATGCTTGAAGCAAGCACCTCGCTCCAGTAGCCTTTGTTGCTTTAAATCCCAGCTGGTATGAGCTTGACACTTCTTCCGCCAGGCAGCGCTTGGCACCCTGGACGATTGAGAAGGTCTTCGAGACTTCGAATAGTGGTGTAGGAGTTGAAGCTGAGAGGAGACTACGTGAAATTGACGGCGGAAGCAGCTGCAGAAAGGATTTTCAGCAGCCAAACAGTCTCCTCTCTGCCTCATAATTAGTAGGTACCTAATTCAAACACACCAGGAATTGATGGATGAAGCCGTCTTCAGTGTTTGAAGTGAGGAGGGTTTCGCGCCTCGACAGCCCAAATTCCTGGAAGACAGTTTGCATGCTTTGCCTTGACGAGCTGGAGAAGACTCTTCCCTCGCCTGGCATGGTTGGAAGAAGCTCCTGCCTTCCTACTGGATGCATGTCTTGTTTTTGTAAGGCTGCTAAGTCCAGTCCGCTCTTGCCCTGAAGGGGCAAGGGTCTCATAGTGTTGCAATTCCGTCTTACTGTGCTCTTCTTTCCCAGGCCGAAGCTCTCAGTAGTATGGTGCCAACTTGATGTGATCAAGGCTTCTAGGTGGACTTCCCGACGCGGTTTGCGGAGGAAGGGAAAGCTCCTCTCGTCTGAGATGAGTTCGGAGAATGGGCTTGTGTGGCGGACAAGGACATGGCAAAGGACGACAAAACCAATGAATGCAGATCAGGCTCCAGGAGCAGTCCTGAATTTAACGCTGGAATTAGCAAGGGGGAGAGTTTTCCCAATGTCAAAACATAAGCTTAGTGTTGGTTGCCTTTCAGCTATGAGCTCCGGTTGATGTTGTGGCTTGCCCACGGTAACCGTTTCAATATCATGTGGGCCTGAGATGGGGAATCATCCAACGGCAGAGGTCGTTCATTTGTCATGTTTCAAAGGGATGAGATCATCCTCGCAACTGAGATGGCTTGTGGACCTTCGTTACATTGTATGTCAGAAGTCTTTATTGTTAGAGAGTGGAACGTTACAGGGCCCCCCATTTTTACTGTGTGTTTGGCTGTTTTAGGACGTTTTTAGTGCATTTCTTGGGATGAAGATCTAGGGCGATGTCGGTCATGACGTACCTCCATTCCCTTGGCAGCAAGAGTGAGGAGGATTTTCCTTGGTATGTTGCACACACAGAGTGAGGAGGATTCTTCTGCTGCAAGAGGAATGGGAAGGGACTTTTTTCAAAACCTCCCAGAGAACAACAGGGAATACTCTCCTGGGCTCTTTCCCCAGGAAGTGCGCAAGGAGCTTCCAACATTCGCTCAAAAGCTGGGGAGGATTCGGAGTGGAGGAAATTCTCCTCCACTCTTTCTACACAAAGAGTAGACTCTAGACAGGACGTTCCTCCATGCTTTGCGGGGAAAGAGTCCTTCAAAGAACGCAGATTCTTGCCACCTCTTTCTTCAGATAGTTGGGGGCATTATCCTGGCCTCTCCCCACGATAATTTGGGAAATCTCTCTTCCTCATTTCTTCCAGAGCAAGGATGGGATTGGCTCCGTCCCACAATGCGGAGGGGTTTTCTGAATTTTCTGAAAAGACAATGGATTCATTCCCCGCATAAAATGAAATGGTAGGAGGACTGTTATGGGAGCAAGTTCCTTCCGAAGAAGGATTGGGCAAGTCCCTTTCTGGCTCTCTCTAAACGAAAGATTGGGGAAGACTAAATTGGGGAACGCTGTCGCAAGAATGCAGAGGGTTGTATCTACAAATCTCTCAAGACAATATAGGAAGTGAATATAGAAGAGGGGACCTTCCCTCCCAAAGGAATGGGGGGAAACGATCTTGGGCTCTATCTAGAAGATTTACTTCCATTCTATTGAATAAAATGAGCGGACAGGATGCTTGGCTCCTAAGGATTTAAAATATAGGGAATGGTTTGAGCTTTTTGCAAGCAAGATTTCAAAGGAATTTCTTTTGTTTTGGGAGGATCGTTCTTGGCTCTTCCCCAGAATGCAAGCTCTTCTCAACATTTCTCTAACTTAGATATGGAAGGAGGGGAACTGGGATCTCCTCCACTCATTGGGGAGGGATCCAAGGCTCTTTCCAGTAATATGAAGACTTCTTCCTTAGAGATGATGGGCTCCTGCCCCAGAAATAGCGGGGAGCTGGCTCCTGCCCTATAAAGTTCCTTCCATAAATACAGTGGGCAGGACTCTTCCTGCCTGGCTCCTCCTCAGCGAAGTGAGAGTGGGGAGGCTTCTCCTTGGAACGGAAAGGGTTCCGGCGAGGACTCTACGGGAATCTATGGGCCCCTCCGCGTCGGCATAGAGCGATTAATCTAAGAGAGAGAATTGAAGCGGAAAGATCGGACGGGAGATCTTAAAATCGGGCTGGAGCGATCCTACCCATATACATGACAGGTTCGCCCCCCCCCCCCACTCCGTTTTTAGATGGAGGAACCCCGTTGCGCATAACTATATTCTATTCAATTTGGAAGGGATGAGGGCACTCCTTTCAGCAGAAGGATTGAAAGAATATCTTCCATATTCGTCTTATTTCCCCGCCTTCAATAGAAAGAGAAAAATTATCTATTCTTATGGAGATATGAATCTTCGAATCTAACCCTCTAATTACTTGCAAAATACTTTCGCGCGTAATATATATATGAGACGATCGATATCTCATAACGATCTATTATGGAGAATATTTTGATTTCTAGATTTTTTCCTAAGAAATTCGTATGAATATGACGTAGGAACGATTCTTCTTGGAATATTAAGAGATTTCTTATAATCTTTCTAGAGAAAATTAATGAAAATAGGGAAAATGGGAAAGATTATTTTCTAATCTTCTATTGAATATTTTTTTCCAATTTTATTCTTGCCAAATTGATTGAATTATAATTATGCATGAGGAGAATCTTGCAAAACTTGATGCCTTCTTGATATTTGTCTATAGGAGATTTGGGGGGAATAGAAGGTATTAAAAAATAAATCGGATATTACGACTATCATTTTTCTTGTTGGATATTTTATTAGGAAATTCGTGATTGATTATATTCTTCTTCTAGATCTTTTGAAATAGATATTAATACCTTCAATGTATTATTTGAATTCATATATTGTCGATAAGATTTTTCATATTTTATTTATCGTAATACGTCTTGATGGCTTCATGACAATTAATATGATGAAGAGATATTGATAATGGGTAATGATGCTTAGATTGGAATAGAAAATGATTAATTTATTTATTATCTTATAATTCTTTAGATTTTTTTCTGGATGAATTTCTAATGATTGATTTATTATTATGCGTGAGGATATTTTTCCTTCGTTTCGAGGAAGGATATATATTCTCGTAGAAAGATATGAATAATCTCTGAAATCTAAATCATTTTGATCATCTATCCCGGATTTATGCATCCCGTCGAGGAATCGCGTAGATAACTTCAAAGAGAGATAAATCATATGGAAAAACCGCTCCGGAGGCAAGAGCCGCGCAACCAAAAAATCTCCGAGATTTTTGGTCGCGCCGCCCGCACCAAAATTCTCTAAGATTTTAGATCTTCTAATTTTCAAAGAGAATCTATAGGAATCCCGCAGGCAGCATTTAAAAGAAGAACGAGAAAATCTAGGTCGTAAACGAACGAAATGTTCGCAAATGACCGCGTCGTAATATTGAGATATTAGAAATGATTCGCTGCTTACAGCAACGGAAATTCTTTATTTGAAAAAACGCATAACGAATAATCCGATAACCAAAGAAAATATAAGATCGCACGTGAAATCGGATGAATTATCAATTTCTATAGATCGTATATTTCATATAGATTCTGAAAGATTTTAGATATCTGCCCCGGGTCTTCATATTTCGCCGAGTCCTCGCGCAGACAGCTAAAGAGAGAAAACATCTGCAAATCTTGGGAGATTTATTCTCATTCAATCCTTTGATCGCGCGGCCCCCGCATCTAGTTCAATCTTTCCGCCTCTTGAACTATCCGCGCGGCGACTCGGGGGAGCGCACAAATCTCCGTGAATAGATATGGCCAACCTATAAATTCTGAAAAAGATTGGGTAATCGTCCCGGGTCTACCGCTCCTCCGAATAATCGCGCCGATAACTAAAGCGAGATATATAAAATCCCATATGAATCTCGATTCTTGACGAATAGTCAATATATAAGATCGCACATAACTAAAAATGAATAACGTAATAGATTCTGAAAGATTTTGGATCTCCGCCCCGGGTCAAGACCGAACCGCCGCGCAGATAACCGAAGAGAGAGAAAATTACATAACGATTCGGGAGGACGCATAAATATACGTATAAATATGATGATTTTCCGATAAATTTTAAATGATTTTGATCCTCTATCTTAGATCTATGCGTTCCGCCGAGGACTCGTGCAGACAACCTCAAAGAGAGATAAATCACGCGGAAAAATTGCTCCGCAGGCAAGGACCGCATGACCAAAAATCTCCGAGATTTTTGGCCGCGCCAAAAATCTCGAAGATTTTAGATCCTCTAGCATTCAAAGGGATCTAAAATTTCGAGATTTTAGAGCTCCGAGGGAGCAGGAGGCATTCAAAAGATAGAATAGAAAAAATAGATTGCGCGCGAATGATATATTCGTAAATAAATGCGTCGTAAGATTGAAGTATTAGAATTATCCCGCTATTTTTAGCAACGGAAAATATTTGATTGAGAATATTTATAACGAGAAATCCGATAGATAATATGAAAGAAAAACATATTCAATCCGATAACTAATTAATATTCAAGACCGAAATAATCAATCGAAAGATTCGGAAAGATTATTGATCTCCGCCTCCGAGGATACGTTCCGCCGAACCGCCGCGCAGACAACCAAAGAGAGAGAAATGATTCGAAATCTCGAAAGATTTTTGGTCGCGCGGAACGTCCATCCAATTCGATCTTTCCGCTTCATTTATCTCTCGTAGATTATCTGCGCAACGGCTCGGGAATACATATAAATCCTGATAGATAGATACGAAATTTTGAATTCGCCTCGACGATCTAATCGCCCCCCGAACAGCCGCTCAGACAACCAAAGATAGAGAAATAATTCGAGATCTCGCGAAATTTTTGATGGCGCAATCCCCGTATTCGACCCGGTCCGTCGAATAATCCCTCTGATAATCAAAGAAAGATATATAAATTGCGCGGAAGATCGTTCCGGAGGCAAGGGCCGCGCGATTTATAGATTCCGGTCTGAAATTTCCGCTTCATTAATCTTTTTTGGACTATCTGCGCGGCGGCTGAGGGGAGCGCATTTTCTCCTATAGATAGATACGATCATTTTATAAATGCTATAAGATTTTGCTTCTCTGTTAAATGGGGCGGAAAGATTGGATTAGATAGAATTACCGCACGGTCCAAGATCTTTCGAGATTTCAAATCATTTCTCTATCTTTGAGTGATTTTGCGGCAAGTCGGCGCAATATATCCTCCGAGACAGAGGAAAATCAAGATCTTTCAGAATTTATAGATTGATCGTATTTATGCACGAGATGATTTATATTCTCCCAGCCGGCGCGCAAATTCCCCAAGAGAGATAAATGAGACGGACACTCGGGCCGGATACGGGCTCGTACGATTAAAATTCTCTCGATATTTTTGAAATTTATCTCTCTTTAATTATTTGCGCAACGGCTCGACGGAATACGTGCACCCAAGACGAAGATCTAAAATCTTTCAGCTAAAATAGGGAGCAACCTCCCACGCAATTTCTATTTCTTTGGCTATTTATACGATAGCGCGACGACTCAAGAATATATAGAAAATTTCATATATAAATACGATCAAGCTACTCTATCTATTCCACAAAGCAATCGCACAAAAAATCAAAAAGAAATCAATCTTTTAGAATATCATTCGAGCGATAAGGGCCGCGCGATCAAAGCTTTCCGAGATTTTTAATCGCGCCATCTATCATAAGCTCGTAGATTTTAGAGCTCTAATTAATCCACAAGCATCATTCTCATAATAAATTTATAAAATTTCTTGTGCGAGTATAAAATAATCCCAAACAATCGCACCCTAATATTAACATAAGCTAGATTTTTTTGAAAATTCAAGTCTCCCAAATATTAGAGTCAGATAAATAAATATCTCTTATTTTCAATCAAATTATTATATTATTGAGAATCCTGAGAAATCTTAGATTTCTTTCCAGAAAGAATAATCTGCATTCCATTTCTATTTGAAAAATCCAAATCCAAAATTTATGAATCAAACTCTTCTCAATAATACTAAGCTCCTACATAAAAGGCGATTAAAAAGAATCTTTTCATTAAAATGAATATAATATTATCAACGAATTATCGAGATTTTCTATGCGTTAATTTTTATGATTCTTATTATAAAATTATGTCCAAATAGATTTTCAGACCAAGCCGATATTTAGCAATCCCAAATGTATCTTCCAATATTGAAATATTTTCAAAAGCGGGGGTCCTGGAAGAAAAGGAGATGAATACGGCAGCCCTTTGGACGCGAGGCGGCCCCGGCCCGCACGCAAGGAAATAGAGCTGGGGGGTTCGTAATGGCTTGCAAACTATGATATTTGGAAATAGAAAGGCGCTTCCAATTCTTGGCCATTCCGCCAAGTCATATAATGGACAAGACATTCCAATCAATGATAAGGTTGAACCAGAGAAAGTTATTCTTTTTGTGCTCTATGCAGCAGAGGTGCGACAGAGGCGAAGGTCCTCATGTGCTGACGGGCCACACTGAAGACTGACTGCGGCGGTATCTCTCTCAAGGTCTCTTCAGGCAGGGAACATCAACATCGCAATCCGATGCAGCTTCGATCGCAGAGTTTGGAATGCCTTGTGCCAGCCTGCTGCGAACCACCTGGGGTGCCAAAAATCCTCAAAGTGTTGCAGGCAATGGGAAATCAGATCTTGGACAACGTCAAAGCACTGCGCTGGCTAGCCTGGCAGCGTTGCTGTGGTACCAGTTCGGCAGCCAGAATGCGGTAGACGCAAAGGCCACTGCCACACAGCAGCTGGCTTCGTCTACTGATGCCTGACTGTGGAAAGCGCTGATGCGGCGTCATTCTCTGCGTATTGCGCGTGGAGGTTCCAGCCGTGTATCGACACTGTATCACTTCTATCCAATTCCTGATCGTGGTGTGTCATCATCCTGAGAACGGCAGATGGGGTGATCCCCGCGCACATGATGCGCATGCCGCTTCCCTTCAAGGATGTGCCCGGTGGCGGTGCAATGCGGTGCATGCCCACAATGCCCACATTCGAAACGGATCAATCTCCTCTTACCCACCAAATCACCAAGCATGTTCAGGACTTTGACCATGATCCTACTGCTCCTCATGTTCAACGTCGCTGACTTGGTGATCTGCCGTGATGTACAACGTATCTTGCTCGTTGATGCGCAAGTGGTGGAGTCTACCAAGTGCTTCAGTCTTGCCACTGGCCACTTGTCTCACAGCTGAGATTTGCATATGGACGTACCTGCAGCCTTGGTGCTCGCAGCCTGGTCAGCCCGCTTCAAGGAGCAGGGAGGCAAGTGCGAGAGCAAAGCCGCCCACCTGCAGCTGGCATTGCATGTTCTTGCGATAGGCAAGCAACTCAAATACTGGATTGTGTGGACTGTCTGGCCTGTTGCTGGGTCGCTGCTAAGGAACGTAATTTAAGTTACTACAATGGGGGACCATATTAATTACTATAGATACCCATTATGGTAACTTAGTTAACTAACAGGAAGCCGGGCTGGGCAGTGCCTTTCTTGTGGTGCCATCCGGTTAAAACCTGAAGCTTGGCCGACATGGTTCAGTCGATCCCAAGGCGACCCGAAGACACGAAACAGGTCAGCTGCACGATTGTACACAACGTGGCATCGGGGCTGGTTGACCTGTAGAACTCAGATGTTTTTTCTGATACATCTAATGTCATCTGATATGATGAGAACCCGTTTCCAGCAGAAATGTTGTGCTGCTATCTAGCCCTTCCATGTCCTCGCCATATGAATACCTTCTGATGCTTTTTGGAACGGTTCTAAAGCCGAAGAAATTATGCCTGACTGTGGCTTTCCGGTCTCTGCTTAGTATCATCCAGCACGCTGACATCATGCAGGTTGCAAGTCGAATCCGAAGCTTGACTTCCCCTTGGTTGTCTTCTGCTGCTTGAGGTTTGCCAGCCACAAGCAACTTCCTTCAAGGCCCCCTTGAAGAGTGTTGTAACCCGTGTCCCCGGTGCCCCCGCCTCCTCTCCTTGAAGCCTGCTATTTGAGATCGTGCTTGTGCCAGCTTCTGTTGGGCAATGATTTTGCTTGACAAGTTTGCTTTGACTGCGGCGAGGTGAATTTTGAGTGCTCAACCGACATGCGATGCTTCCAGGCCTGGATTCGTGCAGACATGGCCTGCTCAGTGCCAATCTGTCCTGCCGCTAGCTGCCTGGCAAGCCCATGGTCACGAGCATAAAGCGGCTGCTCCTTCCAGATTCGGCAACTAACATCTGCCAACGTCAGCAACTCAGATTTCTTGCACTTTTAGTGAAATGCGATGTGAGGCATCTGCATATTCTTTCTCCTGCCCTAGCTGCAGGGAAAAGAAATCCGCACATGGAGGCATCGGCTGCCTTGTCACAATCACATACGACCACAGTAGCATCTCCAGTGCAGAGGCAACACGCAAATGACTTCAACACTTTGATTTACCTGGCAAACCCGCCTGCACATGGATGTCAGGGTCAGCGCCATACGGAGTTGACCTTTCAGCCGCCGTGGGGCCACGCTCGTGGCGGCGGCCTCGGTAAGATCCTGCACCGGCTACGCACAGCCAGGCTACAAGCACCAGAGCATAGCTGGAGATGATTGCAATTTGAAAACAGTCAGCGCCTGCAGCTGCCGGTCCAAGCGCAAATGGGTGCAATCAGCCGGGGGTCGGCCCAAGTAGCTATCATCTGGGAAGAAAATGTCAGCGCCGGCTTCTATACAACTGCCTGCGAGCAAGTCAGAGAAGTCGGTCAGCGTGTCAACGCAACCTGTTGGTATTGCGAGTTGCACAGCTTCAGCCTTCAGCAAATTCGGCGCGATCAAAGGGCACGCTGCTAGGTCCCTGAAGGAACAGCTGCAGGCGGCCTGTACTCGCATTCCATATTTCCTTCACATAAAGATGTGCATCCAGATCAACAGCGTGTTTACTGTAGCGGCTGTCATGGCTGTCCTGTGGAGGAACTGAATTTGAGTCCAGCGGGTCGAAGAACCGGATGGAAAAGTGTAGATCTGCAAAAGTAGTGTCACCAATGCCTGCGGCCACACGAAACTGCATGTGCCCAAGCAGCCGATAAATGTGTGGAGCGAGGGACAAGACCAAGACAACATATCTTCATCGACAAGCACGACACGTTTCTGGTCTACTGCTCCTCGACAAGGAGGCTGGCCAGCGCTGCGCTTGCAACCAAGCTTAGACACCCAAGTCCACTAGCCAACATCTACAATCTTCCTACGCTGTTTGGGCCATTCACAGTCCAACGTCGGATGAATTTGAATTATGCGGACATTGTGTAAATTTATGGAATCAACCTGAGCGGCAAAATTGTCGGCACCAAAATGTTGAACTACTAGTGATACATCGTGCGCTACAGTAGGGAAAAGAGTTGTTCTCGCTTCCTTTTCGGGTTGCAGGATCCATCAGCCCATAAGAGCTGTCAATACGCTATCAGCTTGATCACTGGTCCTTGACTTGACCTTGCCCTCAAGCACTCTGGGCAGGGGCCAACATCTTTGGATTCAGTCCCTGTATAACACCAGTTTCGATTTCATTGTCAAATGTACCTCTCTCCCATTCATCGTGCACAAATATCAGCCACCCCCCCATATATGCTGCAGTATATCCCCATCGCCTGTGAAGCTGGGGCTGAGCTCCACTTCCAGCAGCCAGGCTTCGAGCAACCCAGGCGCCGTCCGAGGTGACGCAGCAAGGCGAAGGTCACCTAGGAGAGACTACGAAGTGTGCACCCGCAAGTCTGGCCAGCCAAGACACAACCTGTTTGACAGGATACGTCGGGGCACGTGGCTCTATCTTCTCATCCAAGGAGCCGGTGTCATCTGAGAGTTCCACCTCCCAGTGCTGCCTTTCTTCTGGCCACCCAGACTGGAAGTCCACTCGAACCAAACCACCGAACCACCAATGCATGCCTGAGCAAAAGGCTTCCAAAATCTTCCAGATGCTCGACCGAGTTCCCAAAGAGAGAAGAGATGCTTTACCTAGCCAGCCTCATCAATCGATGCGTGCGCATATAGGTGAATGGAACCCCAAGAATCCTGTGCTAGATAATTTGAGCACTTCAACCACCTTGCATATTAACAATCGGTTATCACTATCATTACTATCATTGTTGTTGCAATATTGTTACTATTATGAGGTTTTGGCGCAGTTTCTGCCACGCCTGCCGCATAGCCACTGGGCCCTCCTGGTCGTGGACCCTGCAAGAAAATGGCTGACTCAAAGGGGCTCCTGAGCATGGGCCACATAACGGCCAGCTGTGGCTAGCTCTTCTAGATGACAGACATATTGCAAATTTGAAAGGTTCCAGAACTGAAAGGGCACTGCAAACTGACTTAGTTCAGAAGCGGAAACTGGAGATGCCAAAACTTTGTACTTGCAGCCCAGTGTCGCAAGAACTCTGCATGGCAAGGGTGCTGAAGCATCCGCAAGGCGCGTGTTTCCGGGCTCAAGCCTAGGATGACAAGGTAGGGGAGAAAAAATAGGGGAAGATGAAGACTTAAGCTCATCGTGTTGGTTCTGGAAGAAACAAGAATACAAAAACCAAGTAATAGAAGGGACTTTATCGCGTTATACAAAGGGGTTTGTAACATGCTAGGATGTGACATGGACTGGACTGGCGGCCTAAGTCAGCTTCTGTCAGGCGAGATACTCATCGCAGGAAAAGATGAAGTGGGGTGGCGCGGAGACCCGAATGCTTGCCAGCCGAAGTGAAGTCGCAAAACCCAGTTGCATACCTTTGCATGGCGAGTGAGAACGGCTACTTGAGAAAGCGCTATGAAAACACGTTGTCGCACGCAACTGCTTGTCGCAGCCCACTACTACGTGTATCCTAAAACTGCTAAAGACAAAGCGTACCGTGGAAAGAACAGCATCAACCACTACATGGTTGTCTTTACTTTCGGAGAAGTCTTCCACACCGAACCTGTCGTCCACCACCCAAATAATCCTTTCCCCTAATAATAAACGACGTGCCCCCCTCCCCCCACCCCGTAAATTAAATAATCCGAAGCCCAAAAGATTATTTAATACTAATGTGGTGGCCTGATTATTGTAGGCCCCCCCCCCAACAAAAATTGGGACCCATTTAGTGTGGGGGGGTGGTACCCCCCCCCCAACATTCCATGGTTTTTAGTTTTAAATTAACATTCAATAGGAGGGATCAGGATCTGCTCGATAATAGATCAAAAGGTTTTAAAAAGCATTTAAGAGTCTTTCTATTGACTTATTCTCACAATTACTTTATTTGGCCGCGCAACTTCGCACAATTAAGGCCCCCCAAACGAATCAGGGGGTACTGAATAATTTCGGCTAAACTTCGCACAATTGAGACCCACCACACTAATCGGGCCACAACATTAGGGGTGGATTGTTTTCTTTAAGCTCCCTTTGCACTCCATAGAACATGAAGAATTACTGAATTTAATCAAGTAATCAATTATATCCAAGAACTATTGAATCTTTGGTCCATTGAGGTCATTTAAATACTTAACCAACTGAATAATTACTTCATACTTCCAGAACCACTCCAATTCATTAACAGGCGGTCCCTTTTACAGTAGTCTTGCCCTTTTGAAAGTGCTCTTCTGAATCTTTAGGCCCCTGAATTCATTATTCAACATTAGGGTTGTTTCAATTTCAGGGGGAACGAATTAATAACGACACAGGTTAGTCAAAACCGCCATGCACCCCTGTCACAGCCCAGGCACCTGCGACAAAGGAAGTGAAGTCCTGACAGGACAGCGTACTTTGGCAATCACGTCACTGAACATCGTCTGACCAAGTGGAATGGACAACTGCCACTGTGAAGATGACAAGCTCTGATCCCGGAGTCCGACTGGCTAGAGAGCCGGGCACCGACACCAAACGCGGCTGTGGCCCCTGACACATGGCAGCCACAGGATGCCAGCAAGTGGAACTAGAAGGTTCTTCAAAGCTCGTGCAGCATGGTTGGAATCCTGCGAGTCGATAGCCGCCAATGTTCGTCTTGTAGACGAGTTCCTGACAAAGGCAATGAGCAGCAGAACAATCACTGTGTTGAACCATCTGCTCAAGAGAAAAAAACATGCTTGGTGCCTGCAACTCTGCTCTGGATATTGGCCGTGGACGATCATCGGCTGGAGCATTCCGCAACGCTGCCGCGGCAGTCTTGCCGAATCGCCCGTCTGACAGCAACACGGCCTGATCATTCTCGCACCCTGACGACAAATGCGTCTAATTCAGTTGATAAAGTTTATGGGCTCAATCTTATGACAAGACAGCTTGCTGCAACCAAGCCGCAGCTTCAGACACTCCAACGACCAGCCCCTTGGTCTCCAACCAGGTCGTGTCAATCACCAGCAGCCTGTCCTTGCATGTGGGACATGCACAATGAGGGCTAGGCAGGTGACCATTGGAGGCATTGCAGCTTGTGGACAACAACATCTTTTCAATTTGTGCGGGCGTCGTCTGTCCGTAAGATCTGTGATTGAAGCATACCTGTGGCATCTGTGGCACCAGGTTGCCATAGAGCGGCAGCAGCATCTCCTTGGCTGAAGGTCCGCTCCTCGCGGCCGCAAGCGTCACTTCTGCTTATCCAACTTTGATGTGGCCGGCAAATATCGCACATGATCGCACATGCCTCTCTGCAGGGGAGTGAGGCTTCCCATGCGTATACACTATGCCCAAATCATTGGGTATGCGAAGAAAATGATTGCTCTTTGGGCTGCGAATCTCACGACGATCGCAGGACCAACGCTGAGGAGCACGGGCTCATTCCTCGAGGAAGTCTCAGCCAGTGGCTTCAATACACACAGATTGAGACCATCTGCAACTGGACTGCATCATTAAGCCAGCTAGTTAGGTAGTTTCTTTCTATGTACTACATCAGCGGTCATGCAGCTTAATTCCGAGGCTCGTCTCTGAGACATTTGATGCAGGAGTTTGCTGCCAAAGCTGAGCCATCCAACCTCAAAGCTACACAGAAGGTGGTGATTAGAGGAGGAAAGTTCAGAAAGCTGTCAGGCCACTGTTGTCGGCGTTGCTGGCAAGGTTGCCGTTCTCTGCCAGCCGAAGAATCAGCTCATAGCTGACAGAAGGCCTGAGATGGATGCTGCCATCGATCAAGGCATATTAACCTCCCAAACACATGTCGTGCATGCACCGTAAGACAGTGAATCTGGAAGCCTGCAAAAACGAGAAACTTACAGCCTGCCGTCCCAATGAACGTGTCAACTGTGTCATGAACGTTGATCTGACACGGTGTTTCTGCATCGCAGATCTTCAAGGCTCACACTCCCAGAGGGGAAGCTCGTCAGAAGCAAACGCTCCTGTGACCTGCATTCGGACACGGGCATGTATTTCTGGTAGGGCCCATCTGTGCCCAGCAAGATTCCCATCCGACCTGTGCCAAGCGTCCAAAGGACTGGCACGCCTGCGCGAAGGGTGGTGTGGATGCCGTTGTGGTGTTGCCCAGACAATCTGCCTTGCAATCTGCTAAGATGGAACGGGAAAAATCAGATCATGTCAGAACAGTTGCCAGGAAACGGACGCCTTTGAGCTAGTCTGGCAGCTGCCAGCACATGGAAAGTCAGTCTGCTGTGCAAGTGATGAGCCTCGAAAATGAAAGACAGCGGAGCCCACACTTCCAGCAGAACCGAGGCTGCTTCGTTGAAGCGCACCTGCAATGTGGTCTAACAAAGATGCACAATCACTGTAGCGACTCAAAATTTTGTCTTGCCTTTGCCCGTCCTACGTTTATTATCTTGTCTTTCACGTTTGTCTTTTGTCATTTTGATACTTGTTAGTGTTGAGAATGATGTTGCTGCTATTGTTGCCTTTTTCAAGCATCAGAACTGGCATGAAGTACAGGTGATTGCAATACTGAGGGCTGCGCAGCAGATGTCACCCTAAGAACGAGCGTCACAAGCGTCGCCATTCCAGCCAAGAACTCCTCAGAGAAGGAAACAACCCCTTTTTTTGACTATACCCCTACAATATACGTCAATAGACTATCACATATTTTGCTAACATTATATCATATTATATCTTATTACATTATATCTTTTGATCATATTCTATGTTCGTAATATAGCATAAGCATCCTATATCTCTATGTAACCCTGCAGTTGAAGGACCCAGCCTTCGGAGCAGGTGCAACGGCAAGAAAACTCGGGCGCGGCCTGCAGTTTGCACATATTTTTTGATATTCCTGAGGGTTAAGGGTTTAGGATTGGGGTTTAGGGACATTATCAATATTCCTATGAATATCATGAATACGAATACTACTATCATTGTTAGTATTATTGCTAGCATGCCCACTTGTTAGTAGCAATTACTGTTTTTCACTCTTACGATTAATATCAGTACCATTACGACTTTTGCTACGACTATTAACACTGCTATTACTACTGTTACTGTTAATACTATTATTCATACTACTACAATTCTCATTGCTACCATTGTACTACTGTTCTAGATATTACTATTTTTATTTTTACCGCATTGTTCTTACTATTATTATGACTACTACTATTATTGTTGTCACTATTTTTATTTGTATTTTCTGGCCCACTGCCCTGAGCCATCTGGTTCCAGCAACCGAGGCAGCCACTCGAAGCTGATCCAGGACCTGTGAAGATCTCTGAAGATCTCAGAAATTTGCCTTTCAAAGGGGTTTATGGGTGTTATATAGTGGCATAATATGGGAATATGTAGGGTTTAGGGTCTACAATATAAACCCCAATATACTATAACCCTTATTGTATTATGGGGTTCCCTCTATTTTGGCAAGCTACCAAACTCAAACGTCTCCAGCCATGCTAGGTTTCGAAGAAAGGTGTAAAGTATTGTATTAGTATTGCAAAGTATCGATTGAATGCAGGCGCGGCCAGCATTCTACCTTTGGGCCTGCGACTTTTACACTTCGCTAGCCGCCGTGATTTGTGTGTCTGTGGCAATTCATTCGAATTGCCATGCCTCTATTACTGAGCTGTGTGGGCTGGATGTGCATGTGAAGCAGGGCCTGCTTAGAATGACAATGCCTTTGGCAAAGTCCCCTCTGCAAATCCTCTCACTGTCGGGGCCAGGAAGAAGACGACGATCACACCTTGTGGCGAAGAAATGCCAGACGTGTTTATCATGAGTGACGTTTAGGAACAGTTGAACATGCAGACGTATGCAGCTACATCTCTGAGACGCATGCATTGGAGATGCTGCCCAAATCACCGGGATCATCCTCTGTCTGCATAAGCTCAGAAATGCTGGTCGAAAAAATAACGAGCTCATGCTGGAAGCCAAGAAACTCAAGGGACGTTAGCACTGTGCAGCAACTGCAAAGCAGGATCATTGCTACAGCTGGGTGCCAAAGTCCTCCTGACACGTGCGGGCCAAGGCGATCATGGCAACATCCTGCCAAGTGAGTTTCGGGCAAGATCACCTGTCATCAGCGGCCTACGGAAATCAGGCTTAGCGAGTGTGACGCGTATGGTTTGTTTGACATCCGGCTCATCCAGCTATGAGCATTCCGCTGCCGTTGCAACTTGCTTTAAGTAGTGGAGGCCTTGGACGGGGCAGCTAGCAACTGCAACGTGATGGCCGCCTTGCAGAATAGATCCATGAGCACTTGACATGTGTTCTGAAATGTTGTCGAGTATGCAACCTGTGTGGTACTTCTGGGACATTCATCCTGAGGATGAGGCTACGAGAGGAGGCGCTTCAGCGGCATTGATGCAGCGGCACAGCGTCTGGCCTCTGATCAAAAGTTAGGATACAATTTTGCCGCAGAATTGGGGTGCAGCATGGTGCAGCTTTGAGGCTTGGACACCAACTCCTGAGGCGTGCGGTCGTCCCACTGCGCCCGCCAAGCCCTGCGAAGGGTGTGGCTGAGAAGTGCTCGTAGGCAGAACCCATGATCTCCTGCTCACATCTGCTCACGCTTGTAGCTTTCAGGATGATCCTTTACTGTGCACAAAGCTTGCATACATACAGTCAGATACAGGGTTGGACAGCGGTGGGCAACCAACTTGCTGTCCTTGATAGGATCGTGCATACCTTGCCGCAAGTGAGATAGCCGGCGATAGCATCGCCACTCCTGGGCCAGTGCTGCAATCCGCACTTCAGGCATCAGCTCCCTGCCCTTAAGGCACTTCTTGCAAATCAACCTGCGGCTACCTACCGCTTCCTTCGTCTGCAGCCCAGGGTCGGAGCGTGCAAATTCCAGGCAGGGTCCTTTGACATTGAAGAGGCAGGCACTGTTTTCGACCCGAGGGGCCCGAGGGGGGTAGAAGTAAGAAAGATATGGCCAGGTGCCTTAAGATGCGGTTTTCTCAACATCGAATTTCTCCTACGTCCTAGGTCCACCAAGAATGGCGCTGCCCTCTCTCTCAAGAGAAGCTCCCAACAAGAACCAATGATCTTGAGAAACAGTGAGCCTCCTAGACTTACACATCATCCTGGGTGCATATGTATGATCAAGACTGCAGACCGAGCGGCGCCAAACTGCGCAGTCCAGGATATACCAGGTATGCGAGCCTAGCTCCTTGCAGCCACAAAGGCAGACTGCTTTGCTGGCGTGCTGATTCGTGCTCTTATCTTCGCACGCACGGATGTGATTTCTACAGCTTTTGGTGATGCCAGCACTACGTTTTTGAATCTGTCTCCGTTTTGTCCCAGCAAGCTCCCAAAGCTGCGCAGCATAAGTCACAAAGCATCACAGGCCTTGGCCTTGTCATTCGCGCATTTAGCACAGCTATGGCATTGCAGTCCTCATGGCCTCGAACCACGATTTCAAGCATCGGCTGGGCCTCCGCAAAGTGTCAAGCTACGCTCACACTACGCCCAAGCCCTTCCGGTCGATAATTTGCGTTGCCTGTAGCTCTGCCAAATTCCTGGCCTCCAGCTTTACCCTTGCAATGTGCTTTGGGCTCCAGAGTTCGTTGTTCTCTGCCAGGAAGCCAAACGCTGGCAGGTAGGCCTAGTTGACGGCTCGTTGGAAATCATGCGCAGCACGCAACTCGAAGAAAGATGCTCACAGAGTGCAGGAGCACTTTCTGCCAAGGCTCGGCGCATTTTTGTGAGCTTGCTGTCGCAAGAGCTGCTGCCTGTTCAAATGCCCCAAGTTGATGTGGCGCTCGCTGGCAGGCCCCACAAAGCGGTGTGATCAGCCTGCCTGCGCCGATTCAGCAGAGTTGCTTCGCACTGAAGCCTGCCATGTGGCCATTCTGGTATTCTCTGGCTGGGTTCTTCAGCCTAAAACCAGAGGGCTAGGTGTTGGTTTGGCAGTTGTCAGACTTGCTCATCTCTGATGCGAGGGCAAAGCTCTTCACGCAAGGCAGATCTACAATGTATCTGCAAGCTTTCATCAGAAGATTCTTTGCACCTGAAAAACAATTTCCCTGGATTGTTTCTTTGCATGTCCAGGCATGTTTCTTTGGTGCCTGGTTATCACAATATCTACCATGAGTTCGAGCTGGCCGCAGAGCTGGCATAATATCACTCCCCACAACCATCATCACAGACAAAACACCTGAACCTTATAACCCTCTCTCCTCAGTACTCGAACTTCCGGATTGACAAACTTTCGGGGACTCTGGTGCTTGCCTCCAGGTCGCTTTTTTCATAAGGGGGTTGTCCAATATTTCTTTACCTCAAAACCACCCTCTCGCCGTGCCTTTCGCGGACCTTTCGCGGTCTTTCGCGGCCCGAGGAAAACCCACAAAAGCTTCATCTGGCCCTTTCGCCGTGCTTTCGCGGATCTTTCGCGACCACAGCAAAGCACTGATTTTTAAACCATTAAACCAATAAA